TGGCGCCCCAGCTGGACCCTCGGGCCTGGCGCCCGCGGCGGCCAAAACTGTCTGACTCCGAATTGCGGGGAGGGCTTCTCTCGCCAGAACGTGGCCTCCCGGGGGTGGCCGGACCCAGCCGCTGACCGCTTCTGGTTACCTCCCAGGCCGGACACTCGGATGCACACCGCAGTCCTGCGAGGGACAAACGGTCGCCCCTCCCCTCCTCACGCCACGGCTGGCTGCAGGACGGTGAAATGCAGCCCCCGCTGACCCTGGGAGGGACGGACACCTTCCAGCCTGGACCGACCCCGGCACCAGGTACGTGGATAGGCATTTCCCTGCACACGTGGCTGACCCCGGAACTCAGACGTCCCTGACTCTGGCCCACTTGCAGCCTGGGTCAAGCACCATGCTGTTTCCCACAACTCCACCAAAGTCCAAGGGCAACAGGCTTCGAGCTCCAGAGGCCCTTGTGGCCTAGGCTAGACTCTCATCTCTTCCTCCCTGTCCCGCCACCAGCACTCAGAGCCCTGCTTGCCCCTGACTGCCTCGGCCCCAGCCAGACTGAGACTTTGCATCCATCCCGGCGTCTCAGACCTCTGGTCGGCAGGTCCCAGTTCACCTCGTCAGAAACTTCTGGAGTTTCTTCCAGGCCGAGCAGGCAACACAGGCCTGTGAGTGGGTTGAGTGGGGTCTGGAGAGGGCATTGATGCTCGGCTCTCACGTTGCCTTTGCAGGAACCCCCGGCCTTACCATGGACCCTGAGTGCTCCCGGCTCCTCCCAGCTCTCTGTGCTGTTCTGGCAGATCCCAGCCAGCCAGTGGCAGATGACACCTGTTTGGAGAAGCTGCTAGACTGGTTTAAAACAGTAACTGAAGCAGGTAAGGACGCGGGTACTGCTGTTTGCTCTCCTCCAGAGGCCAGGAGGTGCTTGCAGGGCCTGAGACAAGGTGCTGGGGCTGCCCCGTCCCGGAGGGAGGGCGGGAGCTGTCCATTGGGGACACAGAGAACTGGGGAACGACCAAGCTGAGTTTCTTAGCTGGTCCCAGCCACGATTCGGGCATTCTGTTGTTCCGTGTGCTAGATGGTTGCAGAGAATGCGGATAAACATATTTTGTTGTTGTTCTCGTTGTATTTTGTTTGTTATGAGAAATCAGGATTGTTTTCTTTCTGATTATGGAAGGAATGCATATTCTTTAAGACTTGAGCAACACAAAGGAGTAAAGCGGAAGATTAAACATCAATCTTTTTATTTCCTTCCAGCATTTTTTATAACATATCATAAAGCTGTATTTTTCTGATTAAAAAATGAGGTCACAACATAAATACAATTTTGGTGTCTTGCTTTTTCTCTCTTGCCATCATAGTGTTTCCTTCCACCTTGCCATATAGTGATTTTATTGAATGTGTGTTATTCGTTGTATGGATGGACCATGATTTATTTAATCTCTCCGCTATTGTTAACTGTTTATGTTTCTATTTTCCCATTATTATAGGTAGTGCCATAATGGCTTTCCTTGACCATAAATACTCTTGCGTGTAAACGTTTGCCCTAATGGTTGGGAAGTGCCTTAGGATAGAGTCCATGTTGTTAAATTCTGCTATTCAGTATTTCTTTTCTTTGGTTTACCCTGTTCTTTTATTGTCTTTTGAGTTGAATGTTTAGGTCTTTCTTGTTTTCTAGTGTATGTACTGAAGGCTAGATATTTCTCTGCAAGCATCAAGCTTTACTGTGCAGTACCTTCGTTGTAATTTAATTCCAAATGTTTCATGCCTTGCATTATGATTTTTTTCTTCACCCACAGGTTATTTTGAAAAGCATAAAATATGGGACTTTTCAGTCTTTTTATTATTGATTTCTAATTTACTTTATTGAAGTTAAAAATATAATCTAGCCGGGCTCAGTGGCTCAGTTTGTAATCCCAGCACTTTGGGAGGCTGAGGTGAGTGGATTGCCTGAGCCCGTGGGTTTGAGACCAGCCTGGGCAACTTGGTGAGACCTCATTTCTACAGTAAATCAAAAATTAGCTGAGCACAGTAGCACGTGCCTGTAGTTCCAGCTACTTGGAAGGCTGAGGTGGAAGGATCGCCTGAGCCCAGGAGGTCAATGCTGGAGTGGCTCTGAGCCTGAGCTGAGTGATGGAGTGAGACGCCAACTCAAAAAAAAAAAGAAAAAAAAATATAATCTATATTCTGATTCTTTTGTAGCTTTTTTGAGACTTTTTTTTTCTTATCAGGGTTCACTCTGTCACCAGGCTGGAGTGCAGTGGCATGATCATGGCTCACTGCAGCCTCAACCTCCTGGGCTCAGGCAATTCTCCCCCTCAGCCTCCCAAATAGCTGGGACTATAGGTGTGCACCACCACACTCAACTCATTCTCTGATTTTTTTGTAGAGATAAGGTTTTGCTATGTTGCCTATGCTGGCCTTCAACTCTTGGGCTCGAGTAATCCTTCTGCCTCGGCCTCCCAAAGTCCTAGGATTCAGGCATGTGCCCCACTATGCCTGGCCAACTTTTTGAGACTTTTATTGAGGCATAGTACACAGGCAATTTTTGCAAATGTTTTATAGATTTAATATATGAAGTTGATTTTTTGGTATTTGTAAGTCTTCAATTGTGGCCTAGTTTGTAGTTAACGTTTTTTTTTTTTTTTGAGTTGGAGTCTCACTCTGTTGCCCAGGCTGAAGTGGCATGCTCAAAGCCACTGCAGCCTCAACCTGCTGGGCTCAGGCGATCCTTCTACCTCAGCCTTCCAAGTAGCTGGAAACATAGGCATGCGCCACCACACCCAACTAACTTATTCTTATTTTTTTATTTATTGTAGAGACAAGGTCTTGCCAAGTTATCTAGGCTGGCCTCAAACCCTTGGACTCAGGCCGTCCTCTCATCTCCACCTCCCAAAGTGCTGGGATTACAGGCATGAACCACTGCGCCTGGCTAGTTAAATATTAAAAAGTGTTTTAAAGCAACTTTATGGAGATATATATTGCACACCATACAATTCACCCACTTAAAGTGTACCACCAGTTCAACAGCTCTGAGTAAATTTACAGGGCTGTGCTACCAGCCAATCTAGTTTTGGAACATTTTCATCCCCACAAAAGAAACTGGGTCTCGGGCGGCCCCCTCGGGTCTCCTCCCACTGTGGGAACTTCTCTGTCCTCTTAATAAATCCTGCTTTAAAAAAAAAAAGAAGAGACAGGGCATGGTTGCTCATGCCTGTAATCCCAGCACTTTGGGAGGCTGAGGTGAGAGGATTGCCTGAGACCACGGGTTCAAGACCAGCCTGGGCAACTTGATGAGACCTCATCTCTACAATGAATAAAAAAATTAGCCAGACATGGTGGCTCATGTCTGTAGTTCCAGCTTCTTGGAAGGCTGAAGCGGAAGGATCACCTGAGCCCAGCAGGTCGAGGCTGCAGTGGCCAGGAGTGTGCCACTGCACTCCAGCCTGGGCGACAGAGTGAGGCTCTAACTCAAAAAAAGAAGAAGAAGAAGAAGAAGAAACTATGTCTCTGTTAGCAGTGAATGCCTATTTCCTTCTTTCTTCCAGCCTCTACCCATTTTTTGTGTGTATTCTACTTGACAGGGAAAATCTAGTTTCCATACTTGTTCATTCGCTTAGGCTTGCATTGTTCAAATCTGTGATGTTCTTGCCAATTTGTTCGCCTAATTGCTTCTGAGAGGCATGTAAACATCTTGCATTAAGATTGGGGATTCAACGATTTTTCTCTGAATTGTCCTTTTTTTGGCTTTATGTATGTCAACGTCAGTACACACAGACTTGGGACTGTTATGTCTTCCTAGAATTTCTCTCTTTGCACAGTGAGCAGCAACTTTCTTTGGCACCACAGTGCTTTCTTCTTTACAGTCCATTTTGTCTAATATTACCATTGCTGCACCAGTTTTTTAAACTTGGGATCTGCCTGCTGCATCTTTTTCTCCCTGACTCCCAGACCTTCTGGTCGTCTCACTTCGCTGCATCTTAGAAACAAGACATTGCTCGTGTTTAGTGTTTAATTTAATCTGAGCAATACTTTCCTTTCACAGGTAAGTTGGATCTCTTTCATTTGTTGAGGTGACTGTTAGACTTGAACTTACTTCCTCCGTATTCGTTTGTGTTTTTTAGTTTCCGGTGCCTTCTCTTTGCTCCTGTCCTTTTTTTCTACCCTCTGTCAGATTGCTAAGGCTTTCCCCTCCTTTCTTCTTCCTCTTCTTGTTTTGAAATCATACATTCCATTATGTTCTTTCATGGCTGCCCTTGCATTTTTAACATACAAACAATGTTCTTAATTGAAGTTAATTAAAATCTCTGTCCTCTGTTCAGGTAAGTTAAGGACCTCAGAGTCAGAGTCCCTTCACTTTAGGTCACCACAACCTTCCATGTTATTGTTGTCTAATGTTTTAATTCTATCTTGTTTCAAAACCCTTCAACAGTGATTTATTTATTTTCAGTTTTTGAACTCAGTGCTTATTTATTTATTTTTTTGAGAGACATGCTATTGCCCAGGCCGAAGTGCAGTGGTGCAGTCATGGTTCACTGCAGCCTCCAACTCCTGGGCTCATGTGGTCCTCCTGCCTCAGCCTTCCAAGTAATTGGGATCACAGGTGTGTACTACCATGCCTGGCTAATTAAAAAACATTTGTTTTTTGTTTTGTAGAGACATAGTCTTGCTATGTTGCCCAGACTCCTGGCCTCAAGCCATCCTCCTGTCTCAGCCTCCCAAAGTGATGAGATCACAGATGTAAGGCACTGCGCTCGGCCTGCAGTGCTTACTTAGATGGACTCATGTGATTTTGGGGGTCCTTGCCTGGCTCCCCTCCTCTGTGCCTGCTCACTTTTTCCTCCGTTGAACTGCGTTCTTTAGTAGTTGTTCCCACAAGGGCTTCTCCTGGGGTGCCTCTCCCAGCCTTCGCCTCCAAGTGTCTTTCCTCCCCATCAGGACTTTTGAACAGTAGCGTAGTGTGCGGACATTTAGGATGCCGGCCCTGGAGAAGGAAGCCTGTTCCGTTGTGCTTTCTTGCACGGAACATGTTTAAGAAAACACAACCGTTTGAAAGATAAAAGTGATCTTTCACTTTACTCTGCATTTCTTTTTCATAGTCAGTGAGACGGAACAGTTCTTCAGTGTTGCTGGCCATTTGTGTTTCTTGTGTGTCTCCTTTACTGTTGAGGTGTCAGCTGCCTAGTTGTTGCCCTTTATTGAACTGAGGCTGTGAGTCATTTGCTGTACTTGTTGCAGCTGCTTTTTCGCAGCTGGACTGCTTAATCGAGCACTTTGCCAACGAGGACGTGCTGGGAGAAGAGCGGGCCTCCAGGGAGACGCGCAGTGCTGTGTCCCTGGTGACCGCTGTTCTGGGCTGTCTCCACAGAGTCCAGTCTCCTGCTCCTGCGGGAGAACCCCTGCCTGGTGGAGCTGCTTTCCCAGGTGCTGAGAGCCCAGGACCTGAGCCCCGGGATCTTGTCCTTCTCACTCCGCCTCGCGGGGATGTTGGCAGCGCAGGAAAACTGCTTCCAGTATCTTCAGGTGAGCCAGGGCCCCCTCCTGGGTGTCCCCAGGACAGCCGGGCGGCCTTCTGCTGAGACCTGAGAAGCGTTTGTGGCCGTCACGGTACCCCAGTCCCAGCAGCTGGCCCTGCCCTGTGCCTTCATCAGAACCGCACGTGTTTTACCCCAGGTATCACCCCCACTGGAAGGATCACCAGGAATGATGTTGGCACTGAGGAGTGCATTTTTTTGGAATAAGGCAACGGGGGCGAGACGCTCTGCTCCGCCTTGTTGCTATCTGATGAGCCTCAGCTTCTTCCTACCATGGAGATAAGAATTGTGGCCATTTCAGGGGGTTGTGAGGGTTGGATGAGACCACAGATCCTGGTCTCCAGGCCCGCAGGCTCAGCGCCCCCAGGTGGGCACAAGTGGATTTGCTGGGAGATTGGTGGGCGCTTCGGTGCCCTGTGCAGCCTAGTGTGGTGCTCCTCTTGTCCCGGCCAGGTCGCGTGAAGGCCCCTTCGGGACCTGCAGGTGGCCATGCCTGGGCGCCCCCAGGTCAGCCACTGCAGATTCTCCGGGAGTCTGGTCACGCGCCATCTTGCTGGCGGACCGGCTTGCCAAGGTGTTCTGGGGCACCTGCGTGCGAGGAAGCATTTTGGGGCTGGGACTTCATGCTTGCTGTCCTTGCCTGTAATTACGCGTCTGTTCAGAGCAGGACTGGCAGCTTGTAAAGCACTTGTTATTTCATTTTTTAGAGATGGGGCCTTGCTCTGTGTTCCAGGCTGTCGTGCAGGAGCATGATTGTGGCCCCTGCAGCCTTGACCTCCTGGGCTCAAGTGACTGTCCCATCTCAGCCCCTTGAATAGCTGGGACTAGCAGTGTGTGCTACCATGTCTAGCTGGTTTTAAAATTTTTTAAATTTATTTTAAAGTGTGATATCCGTATAGCTGATTCATCTTTTAATTGAACCCCACCTTGACTTTTAGTGTATGTACAGAGTTACAAATTGTCATCCAAAATTATAGTATACAAATAAAACCAATACACTGATGTCAAGAAACCTAGCCTGAAAAATAAACATAATAATACGAAATGGCAAAACAAGAACAAAAGCCTTCAAGAGCAATTAATAGCCTCACATTTCCAATAAAGCAAAAATAGCCATTGACATAGAAAATAAAAAATTTTAATTTTATTTTACTCTAGAGATGTAGGGTACAAGTAAGGATTGACCACACGGGTAGGCTGCATGCAGGTGAAAGTTTGGGCCTCCAGCTGGCCCTCATTTCCCTGGTAAAGGACCAGGTGCCCTTTGTGCTGTCATGTGCCCCTATGTATTTTTTTAGAGACAGGATATCTGTCACCCAGGCTGGAGTACAACGGTGCAATCATAACTCGTGCAACCTTGAACTCCTGGGCTCGAGAGACCCTCCTGCCTCAGCCTCCCAAACAGCTGGGACTACAGGCGCGCACCATCACCTCTGGTGAATTTTTTATTTCTTAAATGTAGAGGTGGGGTCTTGCCATGTTGCCCAGGCTGGTCCTGAACTCGCAGCCTTAAGACACCCTCCTGCTTCGGGCTCCCAAAGTGCTGGGATTTCAGGGGCGAGCCATCATACCCGGCCACATAAGGTACTTGAGAGCTTGGCACATCCCCTGCTGTTGTCTTAGGAGGCCTGGCAGCAGGTCAGGGGGAGCCTTGGTCTTCACTTCTCGCGGAGACGGCGGAGGCTCAACACGAGAACCCCACAGAACTTGTGGAGCTCGCTAGACCCTGCGGTCGAGCTGCTCCAGGAGTTGGTGACGCCACTGTCTCTCTTTCTCTTCTCTTTCTTCTTTTCTCCTAGCGTCAAGGTGTGACCCGTCCACCTGCTTTTCTGAAAGTGAGCTTTCAGTCGCCAGTCAGTGGCTTCTCCAGCCTCACCCACCCCCTGGGATTCGTCCTGGGAATTTTCCCATCTCCTTTTTCTTCCTGCTTCCCAAGGCCACTGTGGTTTCGAGGCTTGAGAGGCCGGTGCCCGTCCTCCCTTCCCTGGGAGCCGGCCCCCAGCTGCTCTCCCCTCCCCCAGGCCCACAGTGCCGGGCTGCCTCCTCCCTTTGGCCTGCCCCTTCAGATACACGCGAGGGCCCTCGTAGGCCAGCAGCGGTGACTGGCCTTCGGCAGTGGACCGTGCCTGGGCGAGGACGCACAGTCGCTTGAGGCTGGGAACTGAGCCCTTGCAACACTGCCGGCCACGAGCTGTGCCCAGGGAGGAGGCGATCTTGGGAGAGGGGCTCCCCTGCGAGCCCCCGCCAGCAGCACCCCCTTAGCTCAGGGTGGGCGCCTCCATCCTGAAGTGGGGTCTGGGTACACACCTACTGCACAGTAGTGAGCTGGCCACCGTGCCTGAGTCAGATCCAGAAAAAAGCACCGGAGGGAGTCAGAGGCAGTGTCCCTGAGGCCCCCAAGGCCCCTTCTGGCATCTGTGATGAGTGAAGGGTTTCCTGAGGCCGGGCCCGGACTGGCACAGGTCCTGACCCTTGTTTCTAGGTACGGAGAATAATTGCCAGGAGGGGCCTTCCATCAGGAAGAGTCAGAATCGGAGTCCTCCACGTGCCTGTTGAAATCGAGGGGTGAATGTACACCTTCTGCACTTGGGCAGGAGCTGTAAGACAGCATGTGGTAGAAGCTGGCAGGGACTCACTAGGGACTTGGTCACTGCCAGCTGGGGTCAGCCTCGTGGGGGCCATGAGCTGGGAGCTGGGCTGTAATGGGATCTGCCGGGTGCGGGGCTGGGAGATGCTTGGAGGGGACTGTGTGGCCACACCTGGGGCATCGGGAAGGTCTGCAACAGTGGGGTGGGGACAGCTGGGACAGGAGGGCAGGTGTCCCGATGGGCCCCGAAGGCTTGGGGTTCAGGAGGCTGCAGAGAGGTGTCACGGGATCTTGAGCCCAGAAGCTGGCGGTTGAGGGTGGGCCTTTGAAGATGAAGCTGGTGGTGCCGCTTGGGGCGGGACTTCTCCAGTGGACTCTGGTGGGAAGGACAGACCTTGATTTGAAGTCCAGCTCTGCCTCCCCAAAGCTCTCACCCCCGGAGGCAGAGCTAGCAGCACTGCGGCCCCCTCCCCACCAGTGCTGGGAGCCACCTGCCGCCTCCCAGAAACATGGCCGTGCGCTCTTGCCTCTGATGGGCAGCTGGTGTGGAAGGGCCCCCAAAAGCACCTCTGCCAGCCCTGCTCTACCGTGTGACCCTAGGAACTTGCTGGCTCCCCACCTCTTTCTTTGCTTCCCAGCAGGGGGAGCTGCTGCCCGGGCTCTTTGGGGAAGCGGGACCCCTCAGCCGAGCGGCCTGGGCTGTGCCCTCCGTGCGCAGTGGCTGGATCCAGGGCCTGCAGTCCCTGGCGGCGCACCCCAGCGCTCTGCACTTCCTGACTGACCGTGGTGAGTGCGCCTCTCGGCCTGCTGATGCTGTGTGACCCTGGGGGTGTCGCTGCACCTTGTGGAGCCTGGTCTTGTCTGCAAAATGTCACAGAGTTGTTGTAAGGGACACAGAAACAGTAGGGGTGTCGGTGTCCCCTGGTTCTAGGTCAGTCCTCAGGAGCCCAGATGGCTTGCTCAGTCCCTTGCAGACAGGCTGCCAGGAGTCAGCCTTTGAAACTAATCGGAAGCTGGTGTTGTAGCACACCCTGTAGTCCCAGCTGCTCAAAAGGCCGAGGTGGGGGAATCACCTGAGGCCGGGAGTTTGAGACCAGCCTGGGCAACATAGTGAGATCTCATCTCCACAAAAAAATTTTTAAAAATGAGCTGGGTATGTTGGTATGCGCCTCATAGTCCCAGCTGCTCAGAAGCTGAGGCAGGAGGGCCACATGAGTCCAGAAGCTTGAGGCTGTGGTGAGCTGTGATTGCACCACTGCACTCCAGCCTGTCTCTAAAAGAAAAAACGTAAATAACGGACTGGGGAGCATCGTGAGCTTCACGTGTCTAAAGTCCGGCGGGAGGAGGTGCTCGTCTCCTGGGACCTCAGTCTCAGTTCTCCTCCTGCTTCCGAGCAGAGGGTGTCTGGGGCCTTGCTGTTTGTGCAGCCAGGCTGGCCCCAGGGCTCTGGAGTCCTGGGACGAAGGTTACGTCGGCATCCCCCACTCTGTTCCGGCTGACGCTCTTCCTCTCTTCCCCTTCCCTGCCCAGGTGCTGTTGACACCGTCTTCTCCCTGCAGGGAGACCCCAGCCTGTTTGTGGCCTCAGCTGCCAGTCAGCTCCTGGTGCATGTCCTGGCCTTGTCCATGCATGGCGGAGAGGAGGAGCGGCCCTGCCTGCCAGGGGATGATTGGCCCGCATGTGCCCAGAAGATCGTGGGTCACATCGAAGAGTCCTTGTGCTCCACTGCCATCCCGAAGGTCACTCAGGCCCTGAATGTCCTGACCACCACCTTTGGGCGCTGCCAGAGCTCCTGGACGGAAGTCCTCTGGGTGCGGCTGAGTCCCCACGTGGCCTGTCTGCTCGAGAGAGACCCCGTCCCAGCTGCTCACTCACTCGTGGACCTGCTTCTCTGTGTGGCCCGGTCAGTTTCCTGGGATGCATCTGGGAGTGGGAGGTCCAGGGAGCGGCAGTTGTTTTCCTCGGGATATTTCAGGGCACTGTGATGCCTGGGTGTGTTTCAGATGGCTCCCTGGTAACGCTGCCTTGAGCAAAGGGGTGCCAGGGCTGAGGGAACCTTCACATCTCACCAGCAAGGCCTATCTTGGTCTGGGTGCCTTCAGCTCTGGGGCCGTGTCAGTCCCAGCTGGGTCTGGAATGGACTTTTTTTTTTTTGAGTTGGAGTCTCTGTCACCCAGTCTGGAGTGCAGTGGCATGCTCTCGGCCACCACAGCCTCGACCTGCTGGGCTCCAGCGATCCTTCCGCCTCCGCCTTCCAAGTAGCTGGAACTACAGGCGCGCGCTACCACGCCCGGCTAATTTCTGGCTTATTGTAGAGATGAGGTCTCGCCAAGTTGCCCAGGCGGGTCTCGAACCCGCAGGCTCAGGCAGTCCACTCGCCTTAGCCTCCCAAAGCGCTGGGATTACAGGCTGAGTCACTGAACCTGGCTTGAATGGACTTTTATGGGGACGGGGGACCTCTCTCTGGGCCCTCCTGCAGTTCTCCTGTGTGCGGCTCTTCCGACGGCGGCCTGTGGAAGACAGCGGCATGGGCTCTGGGCTGCCTGAGCCCCACCCACGTGGGGCCCCTGGCTTTGGGGGTCCTGAAGCTCCCACACTGGTATGAGCTGGCGTGTATTTCGTGCGCAGGAGGGGTGTTGGGAGCCAAGGCAGGCAGGGAGGGCTGGAGCGCGGCCCTTGTAGTGGGAAACTTCGAGGGAGCTCCGGACACCGGAAAACAGTCAGGCAGCCGCGCAGGGGCGTGACCCGGTTGCGTGGGTGCCCGCAAGGCGGCGATGTGGGCTGGCAGCTTCTGCACTTTGTCTGGTGACAGAATAATTGTTTCAAACAAAAGCTTGCGCTGTCCCCAGAGATGAAACAGATGTGCAGGCTGCCCTGCGCAGAGTGGGATGGTCTGTCCCCAGGCTCTGCCCCGCTGCCTCCGACCCTCCCCGGTGGCCTCCATGGGAGGTCCCGGAGCTCCACTGAAGTGCCCACCCATGACAGGTCTCAGGGCTAGGGAACCACAGAGCCTGGGGACAGGATGGCCAGAAAGGCCAAGGATGGGCAGCCAGGCTCCTCCCAGTGGCCTCATGAGGGTGGCAGTGGCCTTGGGACCACACCCAGAGGGGCTGGGAGTGTAATCTGGCCTGGCTCTGGGCTTCAGGGGCTCCAGGTGTGTGGGAAAGAGTGGGCTGCAGGCAGGAGGAAGAACCAGGCCCACCCCAGAAAGAGCGCTGTCCACTAGCACAGCCCCTCACCCCAGACACGAGGACAAGTCTGCCCTACAGGACTTGAGGAGGGACATTCCACTGAGGGGTGATGACACGCCCTGCCCCTGTCGTATGAGTGCCGTAGTCTGGCCCTCGAGACCCCTCCCGTGTCTGTTCCTGAGGACGCGTGGGTCAGGCCTGTCTCTGCCACCCTTTGTCCTGTGGAGTCCTCTGGCCAGCGGCCTGCCGGGAAGACATTTCTCAGGGGGTGTCCTGATCCCCGGCTTAGGCCGGTCTGCCCAGACTTGCCGGGGATGTTGGCCCCTCAGGGCCAGGGTGCAGCACTCACTGTGTGTGTCTTGTCCCCAGTCCAGAGGCGTTGCGGACCCAGGCCTTCGGGGTCCTCCTGCAGCCCCTGGCTTGTGTCCTGAGAGCCACTGCTCAGGCCCCTGGACCCCCAGGTACACCGCTCGGAAAGGCCAGGGAGGGCGGAGCCTGGGGCCCTGGGGTCAGGGGAAGGAAGGCGGGGGTACCCAGCTCGGTACGCCAAGCTTCGACCCCCAGGCCCAGGCCTCTCTCTGAGAGGCAAGGGTCTGGAGCATGGGCCGTCCTCCCTAGGGAGCCTCTGCCTTGCGCCTAGGTCCTGGCCTCTGCCATGAGGCGATGACACGGGGCATCGATGACCATGGGGCAGTGACGTGGGGAGTTGGTCACTGTGGGGTGGCGGCTGTGGGATGTTGGGGACCACAGCGTGGTGACTGCTGGGAGTTGCTGACAGCGGGCTGTGGCCCGCGAGGGGTTGGTGCCCACGGGGACACTGAGGCGCCCACTCCAAGGCAGCTGTTCCTGGCTTGGCTTCCAGGCTTGCTGGACTGGACCACAGATGACGCCACGGTGGTGGACACGCTTCTGTCCTCCAAGTCGTCCTGCGCGGGCCTCCTCTGCCGGACCCTAGCCCACCTGGAGGAGCTGCAGCCGCTGGTAGGCGTGGCCCTGGCCCACATCCGCAGCGGCAGGACTGGCACCTCGGCTGACCCCCTTTCCTCCTCAGCCCCAGTGCCCCTCACCCTGGCCCCAGGCACTCCTGCTCGGGGCTGCAGTCACCATCCTGCGGCTCTGCGACGGCTCTGCGGTGCCCGCCTCGGGCATAGGGGGGCACCTCTGTGGGACCCTGGCTGGCTGCGTCCGGGTCCAGCGGGCAGCCCTCGACTTCCTGGGGACGCTGTCTCAGGGGACAAGTGAGTGTGTTCCGCGCAGCCTGGGTGCTGGGCAAGGCGAGCCCTTCTCCTTCCTGCTCTCAGGAACTGCCGTCACTCCGGTTTCTTCTCTGGGGTGGGGAGTGGGGGTGGGGCGTCACCTGGGGGCAGCGGTTCGCCTGCCCTCCAGGGCGAAGATCTGCAGCGTCCCATCGACGGAGCCCGGGGGCGAGGGCGGGTGGCTGATGCACACACGTGTGTCCCAGGCGCCCAGGAGCTGGTGATGCAGGCGCTTGCCATCCTCCTGGAGTGCCTCGAGAGCCCCGGCTCCAGCGCCACGGTACGACGGGACGACGGGTGCGGGGGAAGGGGACCCCTCCCACTCAGGCCTCTCGGGGCGGGCCTCAAAGCCAGCTTCAAGGGGCAGGCGGCTGCGTGACTCGGCCGGTCCTGCTGTGAGTGGTGCCATGGGCGTGCGAGGCGTGGGCTGTGGGGACAGAGCGGTCGGGCAAGGGCGCGTGCCTGGCTCCAAGTTTGGGCAGCGTCACTGTAAACCTGCCTGTTCCCTGGCCCTGTAGCTGGGTTGGGCTGTGGCAGGTTCAGACCTGATGCCACGTGCCCCTGAGCAGCTGGTGGCGAGATCTGGAGGAAGCGCCTGGCGGCTTCTTAAGTGTTCAGGAAAAGGAGCCCTGGATGATGGGTCGGGTCGTCATGCAAAAGTCCCCTTACCCTGGTGGGGGCCCCTGGCCAAGACTGTCTCCGCCTCCCTCTCTCAGTCTGGAACGTGCTGTCTTCTGCCTTATGAGGAGGAAGCCCTGTCCCCTTCTCCCCCACACCTCCCGCCCGGGCCCCAGGGCAGGGGAGCCCGGGTGCAGGCGATGGGGGAGGGGACGGCTCACCCCGCCCCTCCCGCACCAGGTTCTGAAGAAGGCCCTCCAGGCCACACTCAAGTGGCTCCTCCGCTCAGCCACGACTCACACCCTGATGTTCCTCAGAGGTCAGTCTCCCAGCCCCTCGCAGGGTGAATGCAGCTCACCTCCCCAGTGAGGGTGGTCAGGGCTCACCGTGACCACAGAGTGGTGACTGCTGGGAGTTGCTGACAGCGGGCTGTGGTCCCTGAGGGGTTGGTGACCACGGGGACACTGAGGCGCCCACTCCAAGGGAGCTGTTCCTGGCTTGGCCTCCAGGCCAGAGTCACAGGGTGGGGCAGTGGGGCTGGGCCAGAACGCCTGGGTGGTCAGGGCTGGGTCGCTTGAGGCTCGTCTGACCCCCCTCCCTGCTCCAGACCTGTTCCCTGTGCTGCAGAAGCGCCTGTGCAGCCCCTGCTGGGAGGTGAGGGACTCTGCCCTGGAGTTCCTGACGCAACTGAGCAGGCACTGGGGAGGTGAGTGCCCAGCGGGGTGCAGGGCCTGCCCCTGGGCTCACCGATCCGGGGTGCACCGGCAGCTTCTGGCTGGCCCTGGAAGCCCAGGCCTCGTGGGCTGCCTCGCTGAGGGTGGAGGCTGCCGGGCCAGGC